TAGAAATAGAACATGACGTGGCTACACATCATATGATGTTTATAAAAATAGAATTGAATGACGTGGCTACACATCAATGAAGTTAAAATAAAACTCAATGACGAGGTCAATACGTGGATAAAACTCGAAGAATTATGGGATGAATATCACAAAAATCTTAAAAAAGTCAGATGAAAATCTAAAAATCTCAAATAGAAAGGTCAGATGACTCACTGACCTAAATTATAGTAAAATTATAGTAAATATACTATAAATTATAGTAAAAAGTAAAAGTCAGTAAATATATATATATATTTTTTGGGGTGTCAGAGTCAGAATAAGATTAATATTGAGACACCGACTGACCATTATGGGATGAATAACATAAAAATTATGGGAATAAATAAGAAACACTAAAACGTTAGTTTATTGATGATATAATAACAAAAATAAATAACACAAATAACAACGAGTGGTATATATCATAAAAGTCAGCGCAACTGAATTATTAGATCGCTGACCCTAGTATATATAGTAATGTATATGTGGCAGGGTTGAAAATAACGTTCAAAATTTTCAAATGGTGAGGAATTAGGGTGAAATAAAGATGCAGAAATAAGAAGAAAATGTAACATAGAAACATAAAGAAGCAGAGAAACATAAAAACAACCAATAAACAACGAGAGAAAGGTGAAGTATTACAATAGTAATGAGGAATTGGAATGACGATTAAGCAAAATATAATAAAATAAACAATATTAAATAGAATATAACGATTAGTAATATATACGTAATCAACAAAATAAATAAACAAGAACAATCTATTATTGTTTTATACAAATTAAACAAGTTAACACAACAAATGAGCATCAACAATGAATCGATTAACAACAAACTTATATCAAAATATGAATATAAAAAACAACATATTTTTATAGGAGGTGGAATTGCAACAGGTAAAACAACAATGTTAAACTTATTAAACGAATATATGGATTATTATACAAATACTTTACTTATAAAAGAATACATCGATTATGACAAAGAAGGAGTTATCAAACTAAAACAATTGTTCAATGGATTGATTACCGATTATGAATTTCAAACATACGTATTAAACTGTTATGAAAAACATTTAAACAGTCCCATTTACGAAAACGCCGATTTTATATTATGGGATAGACATCCCAGTGAAGCTTTAGAAATATTCTGTAAAGACGAAAACAGTCTGTCAAAGGAAGAAAGAAACAAATTAAAACAACGTCTAGAACAAATTTATAGAAGATACGAAATACCGTTATTAACAAACAACGACGTCTCGATTATAAATATAGACACTTCAAGAATTTCAGTTGAAATAGCACAAGAAGCGTTAATTAATATATTTATTCATTCCGCAATGCTAGGTATAACAGATGGAAGTATATTCGTTCTATTATATTGTGGAGATTTAGAGGCACAATTTAAAAGAGTAGTCAAAAGAGGAAGACAGGTAGAATTAGAAACGTACAAAAAGAAAGAAGACTTATCAAAGATAAACCAGTGTTATATCAACTTCTACGTCAAATTAATAACAGAAAAGACGAGCTCTAAGAAGTAATTAACTAATTATTATCATTTGATATTTATTAATGGAAGATACAGAAAACGGCTTTATCAAGAAATTAGAACACAAACAACCAAAGCTATTAATGAGAATATGTTATTCTATAGCAGCAACGATTGTATTACTTATACTAATTATATGTATTATTGTTGCACAGCTAATTATAAAATTCCTAGAATAAACAACTAAAAAGAATTTAATTATTTTTTGGGTTTAGTAAAATCTTTCCTTTTCATTTCACGAACTGATCTACAAGTTCTATAAGCATCTATAACATTTTTATGTTTAATAAGCATTTCATTAGACAATTTTGCAATATCTTCGATTAAAAACGCTTCGTCCTCAATCAACTTACCATATTTTTCACTTTCACATGTAGTAATTTGTTCTTTCTCGCATAACATCTTCATGTCATCACACATATCTTGCAAATCCACCAAATCAGAGTAATAATCATAAAGAGCACTAATAGCTATCTCTTCTAATGGATACAAATCACAACGTTCTTCAATGGTATAAGACATAATGTTATACACCCATTAAAAATTTTAAGTTTAAATAACAATGTATACAAATGTCCACGTAAGAGAATACATCAAACAGACAATTTATTTGTCATCCAGACACAAAACAGACAATTTTTATAACACGTTTTAACGCAATGAGGAATTTCGTTTGAATATTTAAACGTTAACAGAACTGATATATTCATCAACAAAACATGGAAACACCCCAAGCAGTTCGTGCAATTATTGAATTAAAAATATCAGAATTAAAAAATGAAATCAGATATCAATTAACAAGAAACTTAACTGAAGATGGAAGAAGTCTAATATACACAATAGCTTATTGGGCCAAACAAGTAATGTTTAATAATGAATACAAGTACAACAAACAACTCTTTGATTACTTAGAAATATTCTATAACGATCTTCCAGTTTTATTAGTCGATTTTACTAGACTTCAGACAATATTAGGAGAAATCAAATTCTTCTATAATCCAGAATATAAAGAACATATGAAATAGTAATTTAATTTGGTTATAAAATTTATGTTATTTATTTTTGTTGTTATTTTTTTTTTCAATAAAAGGGAAACCCTCCTAACGGAGGGTATCATATTTATTATTATCATTACAATTACAAAACTTTTAAACAAACAACAATTATAAAGAAAAGTAAATTATTCATCACTGCTATCAGCTTTCTTTGGTTTCTTCTCTTCGTCCTTAGATTTAACAGGCTTTAATAAAGCTCGCTTTGATTTTTGTTCATTTACTTCATCATCAATACAAGCAATATCATCATCTACATCATTCTTTTTAGAATACTTTCTTATCCATTCTGGTATAGTATCCTGGTTAATACACTTTTTACCTTTCTTAATATTAAACTTCCTATTCCAAGTGTTAAAAGAATTTAATCCAATTCCGTTCTCATCCAAGTAACGAGATATTCGTTCACAGCGTCTAATACATTCCAACTTATTTCTAATTAAATCCTGACGCTCTTCATCTGTTTTAACCTTATCACTTGAATTTAATTTCCAATCGATATAAGAGGGCTCCTTCATAGTATAATAAAATTTCTTAAGGAAGCCATTTATACCGGGTTCAGATTGAGATTCTGTATATACATCAATTAAGTCCATTGATGCAACATCATTAAAGATATCATCATGTGGTCTATTAAAAGAGGACATATTATTTATTGTTTATGTTTTCAAGTTCATAGAAAGGTTTAAATAACCCAACTCCATTCAATGATGTCACCGACACGCAATAAAAACCTCAACGGATTATATAAATAGATCACACCGAACATTATTTATTTATGTCAACACAAGAATTCCACAACGAACCAACAAAATTAGATGAAATCCATTTAAAAGAGACTCTCGCTCATAACAAAGCTTTACACTTCACCTCAAGATATATGTACTTGACCTTATGGGGTGATGAAATTAGTAACCAAACACAATTCAAGGAAGTAATAGATCGTATTGCAGGTCCCACTAATAACTTACAATATGCACACATCTCGCCAGTAGAGAAAGACGAGATAAATCCACATCCACACCAACACCTACTTATAGTAACCAAAAGACCTCGTTCATTCAAAGCTCGTCCAATTATTAAACACTCAGACGGAACACAACAAACGTTCTGGTATTCACGTGTTAATTCATATACATCAAGGACGGGCGATATTTCCAACATCATCAAATATATAACAAAAAAAGGACCAGGTATGTATAAAGGAGATCCAACATTAAAAGAAGACTTAAAACAGACCTGGATAAACGCATTAAACGAACTAGATTCTTACCAAGATTTTAACGAATTAGAAAAAAATTTATTAGATATTAATGCAGAGAAATACATCCAACAAGAAGGAAAAATAAAAGCACGTTGGATGAGAAAGAATGCCAGACGCCTTGATATAGAGAATTACACCAGAACAGATTTACTTCCATGGAGAGAAGACATGGAAGAAATACAGACAATACGAAAGTGGTTAAAGTGTGCACAAGGAAACAAATATAGAATGGGAAACTTGTTCATAGTAGGTCCTACTAAAACAGGTAAGACTGAATTCGCAATACAAGAAATATTTTTAAAATACAATACTTTCATGTTAAGAGGAGACTCTTTATTCGACGCATACGACGATGAACAGAATTACCGTTTTATATTATTTGATGATATAAACTATGATAAGAATTTATTAAGATTAATAAAAGCTATTACATCTACTATAAACAAGAAAACGATGGTAAATGTAAAGTACTCCAAAGCCATTGTAACCGCCCGTCCTTGTGTTCATTTATTAAATCAAAAGGAATACGAAGGAGTCGTAGACTTAATGAAATACAACGGTGGTTATAATTGGTGGAAAAGAAACTCACTCAAGGTATTTATAGACAAGAAATTATATAAAGATCCTGAAGAATCTGAAAAAGATTCAGAAGACATGGAAAAACAAGAAGAAAACTACAATGCCATGGAAGACCTACAAGAAAAATATGATAGTATTAAAGATATTCCAGACGAACAAGAATCAGAAGAAACCAATCCAATAGAACATGTTTCATTTTACAAAAGAGTAACCAATTTAATGGAATCACTTGGTTACGACGAAGAGTTCTTAGAAGGATTAACAGAAAAATTAACAGAAGCAAAGAAAGATAAAAAGATGAAAAAAATACTGAACGAATCTCAAGAAGACAACACAAGCATGATAGAAGAGTGGAACGAAGACTTAGAAGAATATCAAACGGATAATCCACTTGGTATGACAAAAGAAGATTTTAACAACTTCGAAAAAGAAACGATGTCACAATATGAAAAACAGAGAAGTAGTTACTTCAATAACCGTTTAAGAGATGACTATATGGATGAAGAAGATGATGATTACGAAGAAGATGACGATTTCAACGATGAAAACGCTCTACCAGAACACAGACCATTCGGAGGAAAAGACGGTGATATGGATATAATTTATGACTAAATAAATTAATTAAATTTCTTTTTCTTTTTTTTAATTTCCTTAACATTTTCTATAGAACTACTCTGAGAAGGATCATAAGGACTTCCATCAACAGTTTTATGACTAACAGTATGAGTATCATAATATTCAAGCCTTTTACGACGATCTTCTTCAAGACGTTCATTAGCTATCTGTTCTTGAACCAAACCAATTATCTGTGCATCGGTAAGACTATAAGGATCAACAGGAGATTTCTTTCCAAGTTTAACTTGATAATTACCAGGTTTCAATTCTTCAACACTCTTTCCCTTTAAGAAAGATTTTTTAACATCAGCACGCATAAACTTAACATCGTATTTCTTATTTCCTTTTCCAGCAATATGTATATTATTATCAACTGGTACAGCAGCTCCTCCGACAACAGCATTTGCAACTATACCCTGTACCTGATCATTATTCAATAATCGTTTATCAGCTCTATAATATTCATCAATATATCTTCTCGTAACAGTATTTCTAAAAGCGTTGTCAAGTCGTTCGGGAGTAGTATCATTAATTTGGAGCGCTTTATTATATATTAACTGCCTATCTAATTCAGAATTCGTTTTATATTCAATTCCCAATTTATCAATATCTTTATCGAGAATATTAGAAGCCTGTAATAAGTCATTCAAGTTGTAAGTATTATTATTCAATTTATTTATAAAATCAGTAAAACTATCAATAAAATTTCCAACAGCAACACTATTAATAGGAATTGTATAATCGTGTTCCTCAAATATATTTTTAGCAACACTTACTCTTTTCAATACTTGATCAAAGAAATGACGATTAGGACCATATTCAAGAGGACGATTTCTAGAAAACTCTTTAACAATTCTGGGAAATTCTTCATTCAACTTTTTTAACTTCTCGTTAACAGTAGGGTCCAAAACAAAAGAAGGTCTTTCAAGTTTAACATCACGAACACGAGTAGCAACAGGAATCAAAACAGAAACTTTATCATTTCCATCATCACCTCTACCAGGTCTATTACCACCTAAAACATTAAAAGCGTTATTAGCTAATTCATTACCTTTTCCAACTTCTTCTTGTATATCAGCAATCAAATTAATAGCAGCAGACATGTCTCGTATCTTTCCTTCGTTATATTTTCTAATATTACTAGCAATAGCACCAAACTTAGCATCAAAACGTCGTTTAGCTCCAGCACGCATAGCAGGATCAGGAATACTTCTAATATATTGAGCAACTTGATTTTCGTTAATATAAAATTTATTACCCATTAATTTTGTTATATCGCTAATAAGTTTCCATTTACTAAATGTAACTTGATCAGTTTCCTGTTTAAAAACTTCTTGACTCATTTTTCTATCAATCTGAGAAAAATTCTTCTCCAAATAATCAAAATCACTAGCATATGTTTTATTTTCACCTTCTAATACTCTAATACGTTCATTACTTTGATCAATACGTAAATTAAGCTTATCCAAAATGTTATTGATATTATTAAATTCGGACTTGTATAAATCAGGTTGATTAACTTTCATTTCATTTATACCAGCAATAATACCGTTTATAAGAGTATGCATAATACGCTGTTCATTCTTAGAAACATAAATTGCATTAGAAAGAGCATTCAAACCAGCATTATACATACGATCACGAGCATTCATTGCTTTGTAACTCTTCTCAATCTCCTCATTTAATTTACCAAGTGTTCCATAAACATTATTTATATCATTACCATATTGACCAAGTAACTTCTCAAATTCAGGTATACGAGAAACTACTGGTCTCATATCATTAAGTATAGTAGTCATTTCTTCTAATATTCTTTCGGAATAACCAAAACGTTTTCGAAGAAATATATCATAAGCTCTTAAATCTTCCTTAGTAACAAACTGTTGTTGATTACGCTTTAAATCAATGTTTTCTTTTTCAAGTATATCAATACGCCTCTGATTTTCTCTAACCATTTGATTAATTTGTTGATGCTGAAGACCTCCAGCCTTTAATTGTTCTTTAATATGTTTATTTTCCCGTCTGAGATATTTAATTTTCTTTTCAATCTCTTCATTATAATCATCATAAGTAACAATATTAGGTACATATTGATCATATCTCTCTCTACGTTGACTCCAATTAGGATTAACATTAAAATAAGGGTCATATAATAACTTACCAGCTTCAACTTTATCTTCTCCAGTTTCAACCAATTTACCATCTTCAATTTTATAACGACTACCTTCAAGTAATTTATTAATAACATCATTAACACCCTGTTGATCGAGTTTATTTTCAAGTCGATAATCAAGATACTCTTGTAATGTATTTAATAATCTCATCTTACCAGTACGAGGATCATATACTTTCATAGGTTCCCATTCAGATTCATTATATTGTTTTAGTGGTTCCTCTTTCTTCTCGTCATCTTTTTTATCTCCACCACTACCAGCAAGAGGAGTATAAGGAACATATGGTCTACCACCAAATCTATAAAACTGTACTTCATTATCTATGGGCTGTCTAGCAGTTTTAAATTCAGTAGCATAACCACTCCAATTAGTATGAAATTCATCACCCTCATAATTATAAAAATCATGATAACGTCTTTTATAATTTTTAAATTGTTTACGATTAAACCGATTCCATCTCGGTTGTATAACATCAAACCAACGTCTCATTAAAAATAAGTAGATTAAAGATTAGGATTTGATTCTGGCATACCATTATTAGGTAATACAACTCCTCCATTGGTATAACTAGAATCATTTGCATTATATACTGTATCGGGATTAATAGAGGGTTTACTTGCACCATCAGCAGCTCCAACCACAACATAACCAGAAGCATCAGAACTAGAAGGTACAACCAACCCTGTATTATTTTTAGCATAACCAATAAATCCAGAATATGGTTTAAATATTTCAGCATTTGGAGTGAGAACCTTTCTCAATCCTCTTAATGTAACATCAAATTGCCAATGAATAGTTAAAGTACAGGCATTTGCAGCAGCAACATTTTGAGGAGCTTTAATAGAAATAAGTAATTGAGGATTCCATGCACTATACATATTATCTTGTGATAATACTTGTTTTGTATTTGTTGTTGGTAAATACATCGATTTTTCCATCATTGATGCAGCATCTAATTGTCTAATGACACCCCATCTACTTCCATAATACAATGTCTTTTCATTTGCAGATGAATAACTTGATACAACACCATAATCAGGTACTCCAAAATATTTAGTACCAGAAAGATCGATTACTTTAATCCTAACACCATTTCTATCCCATGCAGTACAAATAGAAGGGAATGTCGCACTATTTAATAAACCATTACCAATGAAAGTCATTTCAAGTGATGCTCTAACAGCATTAACTTTATATTGATCATACATTCCCATATAATTTTCAAAATATTGAGTAGAAGTAAGAATAGCATTTACATTTCTAATCAAAGTACCTTCACTTCCATTAGCAGGTACATTAATAGTAACATCTTCTTGTGTAGAGATTACTACATTAGTAGAATCTCTTTGTTGCATTGCACTTGCAAAATTACCAAATGCTTGTCTTCGGAGAGTACTTCTCCTTCCTCTTCTTCTCATAGTACGTCTACCTCTCATTCTTCTTGCCATAACTAAATGAAAAATAACAGTTCAATTAATTACCAGTTAATAAAGGAATCATCTTACCAGAAATTGAATCAATCTTAGTAACATAAGTAGTAGAAGAAGAATTAGCAGAAGCATAACTAGCAGCATAATATTCATCAGAATTTGTTCTACCAATATTGAGAGCACCAGCATTATAAGCAAATTTATCAGTATTAGCACCAGTGAGCTTATCACTATTAAGATTAACACCAACAATAACACTGTAATTATTAACATTTGCAGAGCCAACTTCATTAATAAAACTATTAGCATCAAATGCATGATTCTTATCAACAGCAGCAGATGAAAAAATACGCATTGAATTATTAACACTACCAAATGCGATGGCATATAAATATTTATTAGAACTCAGTGCACTTGTACCAAGTAATGCAGTCCATGTACTATCTTTGGAACGTATGAATATATCAAATGAACCATTTTGAGTGGTATAATGACCATTACCAGTAAGAGGGATCTGTTCACTATAATTATGAGTACCATCACTAATACTCCATCTCATGAATGAATAAGTTTCAACAACCTCATTTCTAGTAGTTCGTAATTGTTTAAAACGAACAGTAATATATCCCATTACTTTAAGAAGATAATTATCATCAATATTTAATGTTGCACCAGTAACAATATCATTCAAATAAGCGGTCCACTTAGTATTATCAATAAACGGTAAAACAGTACCACGATAAGCAGTTATTTCAATTCTAGTAGTAGCTTTAAGAATGGGATATAATGCATTGGGAGTTTGTTCAGTTGGAGCAGTACCCTTTTGTAATGTACTAACATCAGTATATTTTATACTAGAATCGGAATTCCACTCAAATTGACTGTCATCAAAATATTGAATTACACTCAATAATCTCGTATCAGATTTATCATTGTCAGAATTATTCTTTACTCCTGGAATACTAGCTCTGGCACCATATAAAATAGTAGGTATAAATCGTCCATTTTGTATCTCTGGTTTAAATTCGTATAATCTACCACTCAAAATAGTAGGAATTGTCATCATTTTTTCACTGCTACTAACACCTTGAATATCTAAAGACAAATGCATTGGTGCACCTGGCATTTTAGATTGATAAATATAAGAAGAATAAGAAGCAAATTCTTCATAACTTGGTTCAGCATAAACAACATTACCATCGGTATTATTTTGATAAAACCCACTTGGAATAGTTCTTTTAGCAGCCATACCATAAATACAAGGAAATGTTACTTCCTGAGTACCTATCGGACCTTTATCATTAGAGGGCTTTTCAATCTTCTTACCAATAGCATAATTTGTATTCAAATATGTTAATAAATCATTCGCTTTATCAGCTTTAGTTAAATCACCAGAAGTAATCATGGCAATCAATTGGTCATAACTAACATTTGTAAAACTTGTACCAGAATCAGTACTAACTCTATAAGCATATTCTTTATTAAATACAACATTAAATTCAATTTTAGTGGAAACACCCTTAGCAACATCTCCACAAATATGAACATCCATGATTTTAAATTGATCAAAACAATCACATAATTCTCTAAATATAATACTCTTATTCAATAATCCAAGTGATCCAATAGTATGAACATCGACACCTAAACCAGTAGCATTATCAAGAACAACTTTACCAATCCATGAATCACTTACAGGAATTGTAGCAGTTAATTCTTGTTGTGTACTTCTTTTAACGACATCAATATTCTTTTTAGGTTTTACAGCATTACGCCCATTAGTGGAATTAGCAAAAGATCTCATCTAAATGAATATTAAGTTAAGATGCAAGAACTATATGACATCTCAAACATAAATGATATATTAAAAAGAACAAATAATAATTCTTTTGATATTATAGCAGAAAAAAATAAATATACTTTATATAATTTTCCTTCTTCATCTAATTTACAACAAAAAACAATTACTTATACATCAAATGGTATTAAAGATTTAGTACCAGATGATGGTTATGATGGAATTTCACAAGCTAAAATTAATATTATTGTACCTCAACAATCATTACAAGAAAAAACAATTACTTACACAACAAGAGGAATACAAACACTACTACCAGATACAAATTATGATGGAATATCTAAAGCAACAATTAATATAAATGTACCACAACCAATATTCAATGAAATAATAGCAAATATTTCAGATAACGGAACATACAATTACACTCCAAATCCTTCAACAGATGGTATATCCAAAGTAACAATAAATGTAAATGTTTTACAATATTTCATAGACAAATTAAATTGTTATTACTTAAATGTTTCACATATACAAAATCTGAGAGATTTATCAACAATAATTGTATATGGACCGACAGAGGAAGCTGATATCAGTTGGACAAATAGATGGGGAAGATTTATAGGATATTCGGATACTGCATCAATCACATTATCTTCTTCATGGCCATTCTTAATAATGTGGAAAGGATCAGACAATGAAGCATACATTCAATTACAACGATCAACATCAATTCCAATAAGAAACGGAGTGCTTACATGGGTTCATGTATTAGAAGAAGATACCTCCACAGTTATTCTACGTTGTATGGACTCGTCAAAAAATGACAGAGCATTATTTGTTTCATATGTAGAAGAATTCTCAGAACCAAGAGACTTTATAGACTTATATTTCTTCTACCCAACAATATTTAAATAACTCTTTAATCTTTTTATTTTCATTTTAATGGAAGAAATATATAACATCACTTCATTAGCTCAAGAAATAGAAGACGCAGGACAAAATTACTTTGACATTATAGGGGAAAAAACGACATATAGACTAGAAAACTTTCCAGCAACAGACACATCAATCAGAAAAATAGATACATTCACATTCAAAGACAGATACGGCGACGAACCAGTAACAGAAACAATATTATTTTCCAAATAGCACAACACAGATATTTCATAGATAATACTCCAACAGCAGATAATCTAAAGGCAAATGCTTATATAACACCTGGTGGGACCTATTGTATGTTAATTCACAACAACTCAACAAGCGGACTTTCAATTCCACCACCAACAGACGCTCCAGGTCAGGATCAACTAGTAATACGCCTAGATAAAAATACAACATCAATACCAATACGATCTATTAAAACCTCAACAAGCGTAGTTTCACAACCATCATTAGCAGGAGAAGGAGATATTTTAATAATAATACCACCAACAAACAGAGTAATTATACGCCTATTAAACACTCCACCTCAGGAAAACATGAAAATAAATATAGGTTGCAGTATAGGAGATATATCTTCTCAATATGCTTTATTCTCTTTAACTCCTCAAATGTTTGACTTAACAACACTCCTCTCAAAAACTTCTTAATTTAATTTCTTTGTGAAAATTTAAGGTTGTCAGTTGTCAGGAAAATAAGAGTGAAATAACAACCGAAGGGAAGTGCATGCAACGATTTCCTGATAACTGATAACATTAAACCAAGCAAAGGAATTTTTATGTCTTATATCCCATAATGGTCAGTCAGTGTGTCAATATTAATCTTATTCTGACTCTGACACCCCAAAAAATATATATATATATTTACTGACTTTTACTTTTTACTATAATTTATAGTATATTTACTATAATTTTACTATAATTTAGGTCAGTGAGTCATCTGACCTTTCTATTTGAGATTTTTAGATTTTCATCTGACTTTTTTAAGATTTTTGTGATATTCATCCCATAATTCTTCGAGTTTTATCCACGTATTGACCTCGTCATTGAGTTTTATTTTAACTTCATTGATGTGTAGCCACGTCATTCAATTCTATTTTTATAAACATCATATGATGTGT